TATCACGTTCGATAACTGTTTCCTTCAATTGTGCTGGGAATGACAAAATGATAGATGGTACAGGTACATGTCTGTATTAAGTCGCAGGTCTCAAACAAGTCTCAAATTGTCAGTACTTGCTCTGGATCGTTCATGCAACTGCGTCTCCTTTGTCTGCACTTGGGTACCTAGCAGCTCGACGTCTTTCTTCTGCTCTTGCAGTTCGACTTCCAGCGCTTTACGCTGTTCAATCTCTTCGTCGCAGATTGCTTTCAATTGACTCAACTCAACCATCCTGCTATTCACCCTCAGCATCTCAGCTGCAAACTTCTGTTCCAGTTCCTGCATATCAGCCTCCACTTTGACATTAGCATCGACAGCTGCAGCAAGAAGTCCCTGTAGCCGGACAATTTAGGCCTCAACCCACACCAACCATCCCAAAGTGTGTTATACGTCCTTCTAGAGTCTTGCGTTGAGATTGCAATGTTTCGCAGGCATTTTGGACTTCCTGTGAGACCTCGAGCAGTCTTTCGTTTTCCGATTCCAACTTCAAGATTTCTTCTTTATAACTCTCAATAACATCATTGGCGTCACACAGTTCTCTGTCCAGAGCTGAAAGTTCCAATTTAGCCTCGTCCAGTTGACTACTTGTCAGGTCGTTCTTGGCTTTGCGGTGCGTCACTTTGGCCTTGATATGGATAACATCTCGGTTATCATCACAACCAGAAACCAATACTTCGGAAACTCTATCTCCTCGGTAGGAAAATTTCAGATCACAACGTCAATTTATAAGGCACTATGATTAATTATCTATCAAAAACAAGAGTACAAGTTCAACGAACATAAGAACTTAAGATGGCAACACGTATTTTAAAATAGACGGTTAGCAGCAAAGGAGTGCAAACTGATCTTGTGCCGTTGTTGGAGTTTAAGCATCCCCTTATCTGCTTCGGTCAGTGCCAATTGGGACCTCTCCAGAGGCTTCTGCAGCTCTTCCCTGGCTACTCTCTCTCAGCATCTAGATCTGCCTTTAGCTGACGAATTGTATGCTGCTGCTTCTCCCCTTCATTCCTACACTTGAGTAAGTCGTCCTCCAATCTTTTTTCAGCTTCATGGGAACGCTCCAATTCACGCAAATTCTTCACAGCCGCCTGTTGGTTTAAATGCAGCTCAATTTCCAAATTGGCGTTCCGCCTTTTCAGTTCCTCATTTTCCTCAAACACCCGGCTGATTTCTTGTCGCAGTGTGGAAACCGTCGAAATCAGTCTAGACCTTGCGGCTTCCAGTCGACATGATCGACTCTGGCGGAACACACATCTCCTTCTTCTTCTTCTCCTCCTCCTCTTCGTCTTTTCAAATATGAGTGCGCCATAACGCATCTCAGTTTTGGATGCAAAGATGAAAGGGAAAAAAATGACAAGCAATATACAAGTATGTGCAGGCCTCGTATTAATTTCCAATGCATATACATATCGCAAATGGCGAATAATCACTCCTCAGAAGGCAGTTGATCACAATCTTCAAATATAAAAGACCACGAACCTGGCAGAACAGTTCTGTCTGAATTTCTGCGTGAACTTTCTTGGATGATTGGTGCTCACGTGTTGAGTGATTTTGTTCGACAAGGGAAATTATTTTGGATTGCTGGTCAATCACTAGTTTCTTAAGGGAAGCTTTTTCCTTTCTCCACTCTTTCATGAGTTGCGAATTCTGGCTGAATAGTGGGTCCTTCTTCGACAGGTTATGTTCAATCGTAAATGCTTCATTACGCCTCTCCAACAGCTCACGTCCAGTTCGCCATTCATCCGAACGTTGCGATCGATCCTGTTGGCTAAAACATACATTAACGTTAAACAACCTTGTTTCGCTCCCACATCGCTCCACAATATCTTCCTCAAAATCTTTTTCCCTGGGAACAGAAAAAATGATACTATACATCCAGGTTAAAAGACCTCAAAGTGAACGACTGATTACAGTTAAACTCTCCTAACACCATAAGAGTCATTCAACAAATTCTACTAGTCGACAGTCTGCATGGCATACAGCCTAGTTCACTAAACTTTATTTGAAATGTCTTGGCAGGTAATATTACAGGGAAACCACGGAAAGTTCACAACTCCCTTAACTTTCTTTCTGCTGATAGGTCATTGGAAATTCAAAATGATATAATTCTTTGTTCTTATGTACTTACAAGAGCTCCACGTCACCACATGGGCTTTGTGGTCGATAGGATCGCCTCTCAGAAGGCCGATCATCGGAAAACTCTCTAACGTCGCCGCTGTCATCGCGCTTTGTAGTAACGTTTGCGCGTAGCGGAGGCGAAGCGACCGCTCTGTATCCAGATGTATCCGAAGACCATACGCTGCTGGATATATCCTGATATACAAATTGAATTTGTAAAACGGATGGGGCCTGCATCTGTCAGAGTATATACAGCGACTAATTCCAGACACTATCAAATCTTCTCAGTCGGGAACAATATAATGCTCTGAAGCCTCATTCTTTGTAAAATTAACTGCTAACATTCCAGTCGTTTGTAGCAAGTTATGAAATGACGGATATTTAAGTGCTTTTACAAATTTGTATAAGCATATACACTTACTCTTCGGTGCGGCTGCCCTTCTCAATTCACAGAGGCGAGAAATAAAGACGCATTTTAGTACGGCTTTATGCGACTACCAAAAATGCCTATTGCCTACCATTATTATTACCCCCTAAACAAATTTGTAAAGACGTTAAATCCTATATTTTTTCCAAACTTTCAGAATGAACAACCTGACAGTCCAAGGTATGGATGAGTACATCTTCCGTTTTCGGTAACGAGAAATGCTATAAAATGCAATGAGTGACATGGAAGGGCTGTTACTAGCAGGATATAAATGGCTACATAATTAAATTTATGTTTACTTAAGTAACAAACTACTTACAATTATAACAAATAAAGTAACTACAGTTTAACACATTGATGAACTTTGCCCATGGCTCGAAGTAGAGGTGCGTTTCTGGTGTCTCACTGTAGTCTCTCTTTCCTAATTTTCCTTCTTCTTCTTCTTCTTGTTGTTGTTCTTCTTCTTCTACTACTACTACTTCTTCTTCTACTTCCTCTTCTTCTTCTTCCTCGCTTTTTCTTCTACTTCTTCTTCTTCTTCT